GAGTTTAGGGCATAATCGCCCGTAGATACATGTTTGGACATTACTTCGAAACTCATCTTGAACAGCAATATTCTTACCTAAAGACGACACTTACCTAGGCTATACATAGATAAGTCTTAAAAAGTTTAACCTCTGTACCATACAGAGCTTGGGCTATAACGTGCTTCAAATATGGAACGAACGACAATTGTCCAAAAACCCGTCGTCCTTGCTTGCTCCTTCGGGAATCTATTTCTTTAAAACCAAGCATGCCAGATAATTGAAATAAACGGCATTGTCTTTCGCAAGGAATGCGGCACCGCATGTCGAAATTTGAGAAGAGAAATTACGAATGTACATCGTACGGCTTGAATCCAAATGAAACCGCCCGCCCGTCTTTCGAAGTTCGACGAACTTGAAACTTTTACCCTAAAAGTTCGAAGTTCTTTGAACTTTTGACTTTTCAGGAATCGAAAGTTCGAAAATTTTCGAATTCTTTAGATAAATAAATTTGAAAGTTCTTTGATAGGATGGATGCTTGGGCGAGTTGGTGAACCATACTTGACGGTGACAGCGCAGGGAAAACCAACCTCACACCAGACACTCAGGAAGACAAGCACGTATGCTTGTCTTTCTGAGTGTCTGGTTTGATATTGGTTTTCCCTGCGCTGTCACCGTCAAGTTCGAAAGTTCGAAAATGATCGAATTTCTTAGAGTAGCGAGTTCAAAAGTTCCAAAAGCTTCAACCATTTTAGTGGAAGAAATTCAAAAGTTCGAAAATCATCGATTTTTTAGTCTATCAAGTTCGAAAGTTTGACAAGCATCCAATTTCACAGCGTAATAAGTTCGAGAAGGATATAACTTTTTAGCGTAAAAAGTTCGAAGGTTCGAAAAACATTGCGTTTCTGAACGTGTAAAGTTCGAAATTTCTAAAAGCGTCGAACTTCTTAGTTTAACAAGTTCGAAAATTCGATTTCCGTCGAATTTCTCGATATGTAAAGTTCAAAAGTTTGAAATATTTCGAACCGCTTGAATCGATCATCAAACCTTCGGTTCGAAAGAAGTTCGCGGCATCCCTAGTCATAACTCATAACCTGTACTGACGCTTGTGTGCCACCCCGCTAGTATTCGTACCCGTGGCGACGCCTCGAAAAGGCGGGAAGACCTATTTTCCGTGACGTTCAAGCGTAACATCAGAGTAGGCTCGTAAAGGCCGGTTCACACATCTGCGTTCTAGGGTGCCTTCATGTGCGCGTTACTTAGGGTGGTGGCATCTCGCCATTTTGTCACACACGTTTATTTTTATTTTTTGTTCAGAAACGTGTGAAAGAGCGTGTACCTGCACGCGCTTGTGGCGCTGACTGTGCTATGGCGACATTTTGTTTTCGTCGATTTCTTTGTATTTTTCCCGTGAGCGCGTGCAGTCGGCATCTGGTACTACAAAGGGTGGCATCACCCTAAACAGAAGGACATTGAGGCACCCTACTGCGTTACCGATCTAGAGGAACGACAGAAACGATACGAACGGCATGACACCGGGACCACCGTGACACATGATCGCTTGATAAGGCTGCTCTTTGCCATATCTGTCACGTTCTGTTATACGAACAGAATCGTCCCGGTGTGATGTCGTTCGTGTTGTTTCTGTCGCTCGGAACGCAGATGTGTGAACCGGGCTTGAGGTAATAGACCGACCCACCACCAGTTTCCCTACGCCTCCTCCGGCGCAATGCATTGCGGGAAGAGTAGCCTTCCCGCACGAGGGTCAACGCCGCTGTAGGCTTGCGAGTGTCGATCACGAGCCGTCTCGTGCACTACCACTGCCTCCTGTGAAGTACAACTATATATATGGCTGCGTCACCCACGCTCCAGACGGTTGGTGAGGGGGGAGGGGGTTGTATAAAACGGGAAAAGGGGTTTAATGCCTATGCAGATTGTTATCCTCCAGGAAGGGGGAAAGAAAGATGAGAGAGGGGTTTGGTAAAAATAGTTGGCCGCAAATATGCGGAAGGGTGCCAATCAATCAACGTATGTGAGGAAAAAGTTGGAGAGAAAATGTAAAGCGTTGGGCAAGTCATAGCTCATGGAAAACAGCGACGCGCGCAATCTAGCTGGTAGTTGTGTCTCTTTCAGGACTCATATGAGTCACACAGGTCTGTCGCGTCGCCGCGAAGCGGCGGCGCGATTAAGTTCGCGTTTCACGGCTACCACAATTGTCATTGTGGTAGCCGTAGAGTGCGGGAGATCGGTCTATTGGTCAAAGCGAACGGCGAGCTCTGGTTTTCATTTTTTGTCGGGAGGTGTTTACAGATATTCCGTTTTCCTGGTTGATAACAAGAACCTATTGATATGTCGGCCTGAAATGTTCACTACAGTACACATGGATGAGCACTATTGAATACTATATAAATAGGATCACGCTTCAAGCGAGAGCTCCAGCACGTAGAATCGGTCAGCTGCCCAATGGCAAAGAAGACGACATAGGCGATAGATCTCCGCCAGCTCCAACTCTACACACTACAACAATGTAAATACCTTGTTCATCGACTCTTAAAGACTACCGAAATCGACAGGTTAACCTCTACATCACTACCTTTTTCGGAAAACTTGCAAGACGAGAATGCAAAACATCAGTTTTGGTATTTTGCGTGTATTGCTGGGCACAAAATAAGCCTTACATAATTCTACAAAAAAAAAAAAAAAGAAAAAAAGAGCGGTGTACGAGGCCACCACCGCGTCGAGAAACACTCCTTTAGAAAAAGTTCGGAACGATTATGCATCTCGCGAGCTTCGAGTGTGCACGCAGCCAAGAGCACGACAGAAAGCAACAATTACGTCCGGCCGTCTGGCTGTCGAGTGCCGAGCCTCAGCTTCATAGGGCACGCTTCTTACGTAAACAAATAGCCGCTAGACAGGCCGAGCACGCGCCCGTACAGCCAAACGTGTCCAAAAGAACGCCTCGCCGCACGCACCATTCCAGCAACGTAAGCGCACAGCGCACTGCGTACAAAGAGTGAGGAGCATTTGCGCTTGCGCCACCTGCGCCCTGCCCGTAGCGGACACCACCGTAGTGCGCTGCGAACAAGCGAAGAACGCGAGACGCCAAGAAGCCGCGTCGATGAAGGAGAGAGAAAGAGAAATGTCGTCTAAACGTCCGAGTAAAAAAAAAAAAAAAAAAAAAAAAAAAAAAAAAAAAAAAAAAAAAAGAAGTGTCGACGAAATGTAGCAAACTCTGTCATGCATCGAATGTCGAAGAAACGGTTTGCCGATGAAACATCGCAGCGTCAATGAAACGATCTGTCTATAAAAACTTGTTCGATGAACTGCGCGCCAAGAATGGCGCGGCTTGCCACATAAAAAGTGGTGCACCTTACGTGATCGAGAGCGCGACAAAGAGACACACGGAGACGACCCCAAACCCCCGACCCACTCTAAACCAAATTAAGCAAAGCCATGCCAAACCAATCCAAATGAAACCAATCCAAGGACGGCTGCACGTATCATGATAATAAATGCTGCCAGTATTTTATAAAGGCCGAGATGACTGAAAAACAATGTCGGCTGATGATCCCTTAAATCGCAGCCTAGTGCGGCAAGCACGGTCGATCAACAAAAGCAGAAGTAGCTCGAGTGAAAAGGAAAACTCGGCCTCCAACGGTCTCTGCTCATAGAGCAGCATACGACTGACGGACACCACAGAACTGCGGAACCCCCCACCCAACACATCCAACAGGAATTATGGTGAGATTTCAAACCAGACGGAAGTCACCCTACCTAACAATACCCCCCCCCCCCAAAAAAAAAGAGAAAAAAAATTTGGTCAGTGCATATGTTTATTATATATATGCTGCATAAACTTCCGTAGAATTACGTGTGGGTGGCACACGAAAAAAGAAACGGGGATGGTATATGTATTAATCGTTCATTTGTGTACAAATGAGCGAGGTATGCACAGCGAGGCGATGCTCTAATCACTGCGACGTTGTCTGTGTAAGCTGTCGGAAGGCGCGTTTGTGTTTTTTTGCTGCCCCTTGTCAGCAGGCGAAAGTTCAACACAACCAATTTCGTCAGCTTGCATTTAGTTATTTTCGTAACTAATCAGGGTGAACGAGATTTGCTAGAAATGTGCGGAGCATAAACATAGTACATTTCTTTCAAATTGGATAAGCGGTTCAGAAGTTCGGTATTTTAGGGTAGTTTCCCCGTCGCACGACTCACGCGGAGACAGACCAACGGCTTGCGAGGAACAAAAGAAAAACAAAGAAAACAACTTGTAAGCGTGATGACCTGTAAGTGTGAGGACCTGTGGGTAAGATGAGCGTGAAGACCTGTGTGAGTGTGAGGACCGTGAGGACCTGTGAGGACCATGAGGAGCTGTGAGTGTGAGGGCCTGTGAGTGCGAGGACCTTGATGACCTGTGAGTGTGAGGACCGTGAGGACCTGTGCGAGTGCGAGGACCGTGAGGACTTGTGAGTGTGAGGACCGTGAGGAGCTGTGAGTGTGAGGACCTGTGAGTGCGAGGACCGTGATGGCCTGTGAGTGTGAGGGCCGTGAGGGCCTGTGTGAGTGTGAGATCCGTGAGGACCTGTGAGTGTGAGGACCGTGTAGAGCTGTGAGTGTGAGGACCTGTGAGTGCGAGGACCGTGATGACCTGTGAGTGTGAGGACCGTGAGGACCTGTGAGTGTGATGACCTGTGAGTCTGATGGCCTGTGAGTCTGATGATTTGTGATGACCTGTGAGCGTGATGACCGGGATGATATGCGATCGTGACGACCGCGATGATGGCGCCGAGTGGGTTTTGGTTTTGTGTTGAACCGTGAGGGTGAGTCCGGGTGATGACCCTATTTTGAATAAATCGTGATCGTGAGTGGGCGTGAGTCCTGATTGAGGAACAAATAGTGATCCTGAGTTTGAGTGAGGACAGCTTAAAATGCCGGCCTATGTTCCTGACGTACGGTCTTCCGAAATCGAGCTGTCACTGGAAGAAGGTGATTTTTTTTTTTTAATACGAGAATCAACTAGGAATTTAACCGCTATGCCTTCAATAACTTCATGTTAAATTTGCAGGGAGGAGTTCTCCAACTTCATCGACCTGCACATACTCCAGCCGCCCAGACTCGCAGAGTTCCTGTGGCATTCCTGACGACCAGTCTTCCGAAATCGGGCTGTCCCTGGAAGAAGGTAATTTTTTTTTTTTCATTTTCAGATGTTAAAAAAGTAGAATGAATCTGAAATTCAACCACTAATTCACTGTTTTCACATTACCTTCGCAGAGGGATGTTCGTCAGCTTCATGGGACCACACATATTCCTGTCTCCCACTAGAGAACAGTCCACTGGAGGCTCATGGTAAGTGATGGGAGAGCAGGGCGTTTCTGCGCGCCTTGTTGCTCTGACTTTTTTGTGTTTTTTGCTCTTACTACAGTTATTGTAACAGCACTTTCTATTTTTTCTATTTATTTTGAAGCTGATCATAGCTACGCCCTTCCTCAAAATGCTGTTCCTGCTCACGAGTCCAGCGGAGACATGGCTGACATGGCGCCGTCGATTTATGGACCGTCACCTGAGGACTCTTTCTCTAGCAGTGCCGGTGTACTTTCTCACAGAGGTAAGTGCTCTTTCATTTTACCTCTTGCACCTTTTTGTTTTGTATTGTTAAAGTGCACAAATTAGTCGCCGAACATAAACAACCAAGGCTAGTTATAGGTATCAGATGACTTGAAGATACTAAAATTTATTCTGAAAGTTGGCGGTACATACAAGGGTACATATAGCACTATGTCACAGAACACAAGGCCGGATGGCAGCCAGCTACAAACTGGAGTCAGTTGAAAATCCACCATTTATTTGTGCTTCACATTATTATATTTAAAGTAATGTATACAAAATGTTCATAAAGTTTCACAGACGAACCACCAAAACACCTGAATGGGTTTCACTGAATGGTAATGCAATAATCTTTTCGCAAAGCCTCGTGTAAGGCAGCATTTTTTATAGCTAGCTAAAAACTGCCTGGGCCATAAGTGCATGATGCTAACCTTATTTAAATTTGATTTGCACGTATGTAGTACGTTATCAAACTTTTCACTGTACCTGGTTTAAAAAAAAAAAAATTGTGCAACTTGACAAGGAATGCAAGTTCTTATTGGCCACCATTTACATATATATAAACATTTTTACAGTTTACTGATCTGGGTGATTTGTCACCTTGCAGCATCAAGCAAGGCCCGCAGCACTGACAAGAGAAAGATGGACGCACTGAGGGCCAAGGTACGACAGGTCCGAGAACAAAACAAGAGGCTGCAAAGAAGGCTGCAACGACAGCGTCAGATGAGGACTGTTGCTGAAGTTGTTGAGAGTGTCCGCATTCATGTTTCTCCAGCTGTCGCTGCACTCGTTGAGGCCCAGCTTAGGATGAGGGATGTGAGCCGGTTTGGTCGACGGTGGTGCAGCCAGAACAAGTCTTTGGCTTTGGGCCTCTACTTTCATAGCCCAAAAGGCTATAAGTATTGTAGACGACTGCTTCGGTTGCCATCAGTCCGATCACTGCAGCTGTGGCTTCAGCGTGTTCCACTGAGAGTTGGATTTTACCCCGAAATTTTCGAGCTGGTAAAGAGGCGAGCGACTTCTTTTTCACGAGCCGATCGAGCCTGCAGCATAGTGTTTGATGAGATGCATATTAAAAAAGAGCTCTCATACAACCCCTCATCTGACAGGTTTGAAGGACTTGAAGAGTATAGTAATGGTGTGCAAGGTGCGAACCTATCAAACAAGGCTCTTGTGTTTATGGCAAAAGGAATTCGAACACCATGGAAGCAGCCACTTGGCTACTTTTTCGCTCATAAAGGCACACCTACGAATGTCCTACAAGATCTTCTTTTCCAGTGCTACAGCCTCCTTGTGGATGCTGGCCTGGAGCCAGTAGCTGTGGTATGTGATCAGGGGAGCCAAAACATCTCCCTTTTTTCAAGCCTTATAACCCCCGAGAAGCCTTACATAGATGTCAACGGCAAACCTCTTTTTTTTCCTTTTTGATGCTCCGCACCTCCTGAAGTGCCTCAGAAACATGCTATTTAAGTATGACTTCAAGGTTTGTGATCAAGTAGTAAAAAGCTCGTACATAAAGGAAGCTTATGAAAAGGACCGGAAACTTGAGATCCGTTCGATGCCCAAGCTGAACGCAAAGCACTTTGATTTGACGTTCTGCTCAAAGATGTCTGTGAAACTAGCGGCCCAAGTTTTTAGCAACCATTGTGCTGCTGCAATGTATGCCTTTGTAACGTTCCAGCAATTGCCAGCTGCAGCTATTCACACAGCGAGATTCGTTGAAAGAATCGACCGTCTCTTTGACAGCCTAAATAGCTCCCACAAATCGGCAAAAACGCCCTTCGCCTCTGCGACGCATAATGGCTCTGTCCATGAAGAGTTTTTCAAAGAGTGCATTGAAGTTTTTGAAACCCTGCAAGTACTCGGATGTAGACGGCAGCCAAACTGCATTCGTGGCTTTTGCTTAACAATGAGGTCTCTGATGATGCTCTGCAATCACCTCACAGTTAATTTTGGTTTCACCTACATTTTAACCCGCCACTTAAACCAGGATACGCTTGAAAACACCTTTGCTATTATACGTTCGAGGTCTGAAGCAAACGCAAACTCTACTTCTCGTCAGTTTCAGGCAGCGTTCAGACATCTTTTGGTAAGCAACTTGTTCAAGCTGACTGAAAAATCAAACTGTGCTGAGGACATGATGTCCCTCCTTGCTACTCTTCCGGTAGGCCTATCGGTACCCTCTGCTTCTCTACCCTTAGGAAGCTCAGTTTTCCTTAGCGCAGCAGACGAGTCGCCCTTAAACTACCCTTCGGCCATGGTAGCGAACAACATGGTTTATTTTTCTGGGTGGCTTGCGACAAGATTTTTGAAGGGTCATTCTTGTGTCGGGACATCTCAGCGATGTGAGCTGAAGAAAGAAAATGCATGTTTTTCTGAAGGAAACCAAGTTTTACTGTACTTGAGTGTGAAAGGCACTGCTGACTCGGACTTTGGAAACCTGTCAGTTCCCTCCCCTTCCTTCACATCATTCGTTGAGGCATGTGAGCGTGTTTTCGAGGCGAGGATCAACAACCTTATTTCAAAGGAGGGCATAGGGCGCACTCTTTGTGTACTTTTTCATCAGGAGGTCCAAAAGTCTCTTGTTGTGTGTGACAACAATGTGTATGACGACTTGTTTTCTCTGTTTGCAAGAGTCAGGCTACACTGGTTTGCACGAAAAAAAAAACACTGAACTTGTTGATGCATCAGCAAGGTGTAAAACTAGGCAGCACGTGCAAAGGCTAAGCTCTTGAGACTACACAGCGTACATTTTAAAAGTAGTATATGTGCTTTCCTAGCCTTTCGTATGGTATAAAAGACTATTTTCGTTTGCTCGATATTTTGCAACGTGTCTCGAAAAAATCTGGCGGGCGCACAATTTCGCGATCTAGAACAATATTTATTGCTTTCATATCCTTGGATTGAGTCATTTTTCGCGAGGTTTTTCAACTTGTGAAATTATTAAATTTTAGGTCATCGCGAAAGTCAAGGTGCTTACTGTGCTTTGGGTTACTGACTGCTCATGTCGTTTTGTCACTGAATTAAACCTATGGTTTTAGGGTCCGACGAAACACTGGCCTATTACCTGCAGCGTACTGGAGGGCACCAAAATTATTTACGCGTACAAGGGAGGTTACAGAGTACACAGCACCATCATACTCAAGTTAGAAAGTTTTCTGGATTATGGTACCTTGCCAAAGAACGGCAAAATCGGCTGTTATTTTCGTTGAACACAGCTTTCCTCCAAACACTTTGAATTTTTTTATATTGACGGCTGTCTATAAATTGACAATGTCCACACAACAGGCAACCAATTGTACAGTGTGTTACGTGCTATCCTGTCATAATGTGCCTTGTGTATTGATCTAGTTTTCTTCTACCTTAAAACTAGGTATGATTATATGCTTCTGACGAGCGTTCTGGTTGAGTGATTGTAAGCAGTTTTAAGTGAATAAAATGTTAGTGCAACATTGGACTGCATTTGAGTTACTGTTGCGTATCTTCAACGCTAACACACTCGAGAAACGTTATTGTTATTCACTTTGTGAGGTCAATCACCTTAAAGCCGCTCCCACATTTCTGAAAAGCTGAAGAAAAAAGCAAAAGTAGTTCTGTGGGATGAAAAAAAAAATATTCTCGAAGTGAGCTGCCTAAAAAAGGCGGCCGCATACAAAAATTAAATTATTTTCGCGCAGATTTAAGAGTCCAAACGGGGTGGGGTAAATTCAACGTAAAAAAACCGAGACTGCAGGCAAGAAGGACAACACACTAAAAGAAGTCAAACATAGCTTGGCACAGCTTTGTTTGAGATTTTTTAGTACCAGAAAGCTTTGAGGCTTTTTATAGAAATCGGGATTGCAGGCAAAAAGGACGATCGTCCTTTTTGCCTGCAGTCTCGGTTTCTTGTTATATTTAATTTTCGCGCCAAACAATACATCAAAGTGACGTCACGTTTTTGGTTTTTTTTTCGGAAGTGACGTAACTTCCTGTTTATTTTTTGTTCCGCCGGAAATGCTATCACGACACATAGATGGCGCTAGCGAAGCCCCATGAGCCGCCATTTTTTCGACACGTCGGGTTCTATGGAAGCTTCGCTACCATATGTACATACATATACCTTGTGTATTCTTTTCCTCTTCGTCTTCATTGTTTATTGATTTCAATCATATCGAATAATGAACACATTAAATCACACTACTCTTGTGTAATTATTTGTCTTAGATTTATTAGCCTGACCCAGTACTTAAACCATTCAGTTATCGATAGTAAATCTTCCAATATATTTTTTAAATGTGAGGGTAAAAAGACACGGAGATTGATGATGATACAGACGCCAACGCCGCCCTCGGAAATTTTTTGAACATTACAAATCAACAGTTTGTCTGCCATCCGCCAGCTAGCGCAAGAAAACACCCAAGCAGTTTTTAATTGTTTTAAAATTAGCTAAGCTCTACACCTATTTATTTAGAAACCAAAGCAAGATCATTGTGAAAATTTAATGCATCGCAACGTATATCTATTCCAAACAATAAATATTTTTAGATGCCAATAAATCTGTTTGATATCCAAAAAAGGTATGCGTCAAAAACACGTAAGTTTGAAGGGCTCCTGGAGCGTTACGACATCGAAAATGAAAAAAAAAAAAAAAAAAATAACATCGTCTACCTCTTGGGCAACCATTGTAGCTCTAAATGTTATAAAAGATTTTATCATAGTTTAATTATTTCCTCAGCGGTATTTGAAGTACCATGACTCGAAGCACAAAAAAAAGTGCTACGTTTGATATAAAATATCTAAACAAAAAAATGTTACACAACATTAAATTTTTTTTTGCATATTACCAATTATAAGCTAAGCACTTTTCATTGTCCTAGCGCTTGTCATTAAAAACATATTTGTGATGAAAAATGTCAATTTTAGGGAAATATTTGGAGGGATGAAAAAAACAAAGTAGTGCAAATACCAAAAAAGTG